GAAAAGTTGACGATCTGTAACAGGTCTGACTCTAAAGTCTTTGAGACCTTTTTGAAAAAACTTGTTGGCAGGACATCTAAACAGCAAGAGGAGGAGTTCAGTTGACCAACTGAAGTTGAGTAGAGCTTCAGCAACATTTGTTTGCATATGATGTGTTTGATGAAGCTACATGTTTGCAAATATTTGACTCTTTATTGATATGAATGCAGAGTTCACCAATCAATCTTATCCATATTCTGCTTTAAAAATATGTTGTTTAAAAAACAAGTCATAAGAAAATAAAAGCTTTTGAAAAATCCATTTTGTGTTATCCTTTTGCCAATATTCTATTACATATAAATGCTTAATAATCCCTTATATTTCTATATAAAAAGCACAAGAAGTCAAAGAAACATGATCAAAAACCAAGAAGAAGAGGTAAAGTGATTAACTTAACAGTTTGATTTTGCATGTGGTGCGTTACGTTACTACACTTTTACATTACATTAATGATTATGTTCTCTCAATTGCAGTCCAAATCCTAAGCACGTGGTCACCCGGTATAACAAGATTTTGAGGCTGTTTAGAGGAGGCACCATGTCTGCTGCCTTTAAACGTCTGGGAGTGGAATGGAACACGATTGTGGCAACTGCTCCAATTGCTGAGCTGTTCATTGTTGCACCTGAGAGCTATAAAGAATTAGAAAAAAACAAGCAGGGACAGAAACTTTCATTGTTTGCTAGGAAAAATTCAAAGCCTATAAGTCTTCAGGGAAGTTGCTTCCTCTTAAAACGCCTCTGTCAGTGTGCCTCAGGGTGGCTGTGGCTACAATGTAGCTTGCCATCACCAGTGTGTGAATGTGTGTAGGACTGGATGTGTATAGCGCTTTGCGGTCCTTAGGGACTAGTAAAGCACTATACAAATACAGGCCAGTTACCATTTAAAACAAAGAAAGATTAGATTTTTGTTGTTTTTTTAAATGGTGAAATGTGGTGAGAGTCCACCATTGTTAACAGCTTAAAAAAAAGACAAGTTATATATTCCAGTTGATTGGTCAATTGTTTGTAAAAAAAAAAAAAAATTCTGATGCAAAAGAGCCAAACGGGACAGGCCAAAAAAAAAAAAAAAAAAAAAAAAAAAAAAAAAAAT